AAGCCTGAGGCACGTGGGGAGGCAGAAGGGGCGGAACACAGAGGGGTCTGGTGATGGCTGCAGCCAGGGCTGTGCCAGAGAGTCGCCCAACAAACGCTGTGACCACAGGCAGAGGAATCCAGTCACTGTGGCCTAGGACCAGGCAGGCAGAGAGCAGGAAAACAGTGACCTTGACCTCTTTCACCCCCAACCACTGATATCCTGCTAGGTCCTTCCACTGGCCAAACCCAACCAGATGCCACAAACACAGAGATCCTTTTGACAAGATCCCTGTGCTACCTCCTCCAGGGGTGCACAGCCAGGAACAGGGGGTGGGGTGCATCTGGAGGAGAGCGTGTCAACTACCCAGCACATCCCACAGCTACGAAAGCACCTCAATATAAAGCAGACTCTCAAAGACGCGTGCTGATTGGTCTAATTAATGCGGGCTGTGGAAGGCCTAATTACTCTAATGATTTGCGTGTAAACTGTCAAGAGGATGAAGGATGAACTGGGGGCCTAATTGGGGCCTTTCCTGCTTCTGGAAGTCCATCAACCGGCCCTGCGGTCACAGCTGCAGATCGGATCGCGCATGGCCAACGTTATGTTTTCCTTTCAGTGGGGGAGAAAGGAATGGGGACACCAGGAAAGAATTCATCATCCATAAGAGAAACTGCTACTCCTATCTGTGCTCAAAAGCAAAGTCATTTTTCCCCAAATTAAAAGAGAATGTTTGCCACTGAAATGTGAGCTGGTAAAAAAGATAACGCACTCCCCAGCCTTCTCAGCAGTTATGTTATCACAGCGACACGTGTCAAATAGCCGCATAGGAAGCCTGGGAGTGATTCCTGCGAATAAAAGAGCGCAGTGTGAAATGCTGACTTTTTCTGATCAAAAATCATCCTGGGGTGAGCTGAACAGCTTTGGGTCAAGGAGAGGCCTCAGTTTCTGGGGCGATTTTGTTGTTTTCAGAGAGAAGACTACTCGCAGGGATGTGCAGCTGCTCGCACACTCCCACTGGGCCGGCGCACTTGCAGTCACTTGTCTTGCTCTTGGGTCTTTACCCCCCACATTGAAACATATTTCTCATTTCAGTTTCACTTACCTGTCACTTTCTTCTTAAAAGGGATGATTTATCAAGTAAAAAATCATCAACATCAAAGAATAGTTCAGCATTACCAGCATACACACACACACACACACACACACACACACACACACACACACTCACACCCTCCCCTGCATCATGCTCTGAAAGCAAAATTGTGACTAAGAACCACAAACTCACTTCCCCCACTGAAGGTTTGTTTCAGAATCCGAGCATGAGTCTCTTCACTCTGTGGTTCTGCCAGCCTAAAAATGGTACCTTGCTGCAAGGGAGCTATAATTTCTACTCCACACTTCATGATTTGATTGAAAATAAAGATGTAAAATAAAGAGTGTAATGAAGTTAATAGTACCGTACTCTCGCAGTCCATTATGAGGAATTTTTCCTGCAAAAGTGGAAACTGGAAATTACCTCTGGGCCTTCTCACTCTCAAACACACAGGTCACCATGATTTGCGGCGGGGTTTCAAGGCTGAAGGATTTAATGTTTCTCTTTCCTCTGGTCAGTTTTCCAAAAGGACCTCTCCTCTTACTGGGGTATCATACACATAGTGAGAGATAAAGACCTGAAGAAACAGGCAGGAAACAGCTGTTCTACTCCTGGTTGTATCCTAGTTGTAGGACCTCTGGAAAAGCATTGAACTTTGCTGGGTATTAACTACTCCTTCTGCAAAGTGAGAGGACTAGATAAACCATTCCCAATTTAGTCTCTCTCACGTTGATGTTTCTTTCTCTCTCTCTCTCTCTCTCTCTCTCTGTCTGTCTCTTCATCCCTCTCTAAAAATAAAAAAAATCTTATAAAAATAACATAAAATAAACATGCCTTGGGAATTATATGATGTGTTTCACCCCCTTTTTTTTCTCTTGTATTTCCCAGCCACCCTTCCCTAGAATCATCCCTGTGTGTTCCTTGCCTAGTTATTTGTATGATGTCAGCATGGATCCTAAAGGAGGGTCATGTCTTAGATTCAAGTCCTTTATAGCCCAGTTAATTTTTGTTTTGTTTTGTCTTATTTGGCTTTTTTAAAAATAATCCTCATCTGAGGATATTTTCCCCATTGATTTCTAGAGAGAGTTAATTTTTGTTTTGTTTTGTCTTATTTGGCTTTTTAAAAATAATCCTCACCTGAGGATATTTTCCCCATTGATTTCTAGAGAGAGTGTAAGGGAGGGAGAGGGCGAGAGAAAAAATATATAGATGTGAGAGAGATACATCAATCCGTTGCTTCCGGCATGCTCCAGGACCAGGGACCAGGGACCAAAGCTATAACCCAGGCACTTGCCCTTGACTGGGAATCAAACCCTAACCCTTCCGTGTGTGGGTCAATGTTCAAACCAGTGAGCAACACCGGTCAGGGCTACAGACCAGTTGGTTTTGATCTCAACCCCTCCTACCTCTTCCTGACAGTCACAGTAAACTTCATCCAAGGGACTTTCTGTGGGTCTCATGCTCAAAGAACCAAGTCAAGAAGAATATTCTTACTGTCACTGTCCCAGCAGCAATATCTTATATGAGGAAGGAACACAACACTAAAACAGAGGGGAAAATTACAGTCTCCCAGCCTAATAGTATAACACTGAACAGCATGCAAGCACCCCATACACTGGCCCATGTAGTCACAGATGACCACATCCTTTTTCAGGATTTTCCCATATACATGTGTAGATGTAACACTTCATCTGCCTCTAGGAAATAAGAAAGGTATTTCACTAGTGTAAAAACTCTCCCAAGCATCATTTAGGGAGATTGAACAGGATTAAGTTTCTTAGGTGGTCCAGGCAACAAGTTCTCATTTTCACAGTGTTCTTTTATGCTGTAAGTCAAAGCACAGATTCATAGTCCCCACAAGACTTGGGGTAGCGCCATATGCCAACGGGAACACAAGCTTAGTTTGGGGCTTCCCGCTAGCACCGGTAATGTGACAGGCTCTGATTTATGCTCATAGTCCAACCTATCACCGAGCAAAATATAAATGTGGCCAAAGATTTCATTTAGACTATTTCCTCTTTCTCTGATGTTCAGGGACCCAATCCTTCCTGCTAATCCACTTCCCCTTCCCTACTTGCCCCAACCCAGCCCTGCATTCCAGCTCTCTATATTCTGTCCCCTCTTGTTTACCAATTCCCTCCATAAAACTCTGCTCATCTGATGACACCTGGGAATGATCCAAGATCTTTATTAGTAAGTGCTACTGTGAGTTACTGAAAGACAATAGCTTAGCATGCTTGTTTTGATAGGGTCCTTGCATATTCTTTGGGATCTATGGAAGAATTTGGGCTTTAGGGACTAATCAACAAGGATGATAGTTTGGTGTTAAGAGAATCTTTCCTGTGCTGCTCATATTACACTATATGAGCATCTCTGTCCCTGCCTGGGCAGAAGACAGACCCCAATGGCAGCCTGATATGAAAGAAGCGTTTTCTTTGTCAAAGGAGAGGCTGAGAAATGAATTTTTATGCTAATTCCCCATAAGTTGCAAAAGGAATAGATATAAACACACACATACACACACACACAAACACACAATTTTCACTATATTCTACCTAGAGACAGAAGACATTAGAGATGAGGAGAGGACATAACCATTGGGAGTTGAACTTAAAATACTATTAAAGTTTTTATAGCCTCTGAAGGTCTACTGCTATCTCTGTTTGCAGCCCTCAGGGATACAGAAGTTGCATCAAATAACGAAAGAAGAAGTAGACCCAAAAGTTCCTCAATCCCCAGACACTCATGTCTGTGAACAGTTTGTGATATGAAACCTCAGCAGTTACAGGGTAAACAGCTAATTTGTACAATGACAGAGTAAGATCTACAGCAGCAGAGTTGGAGAAGTGCAACTGATAAATCAATTCAACCAGTATTTTATGGGACACATACTCTGATCCAAAGTCCGGCCCAGCTGCTGGGAGTATACAATCAATAAAGCACATCCCTATACAACAAGCAAATGAAGGAACCAAGCTAACTCCTATCTTAGTACATGAGCAAAAGGGGAAGGAGTGACTTGCTAGCTGTGATTTCTTGCCCTGTTCATATGCATTATAGAGTAGAAGAGGTGACCCACACATTTTAGCTCAAAGACCAAAGAGTGGCCAACCTTCAGAAATCAGGGACTTAGTCTATTTCCTTGAACTAATCCAGTGATGGCGAACCTTTTGAGCTTGGCGTGTCAGCATTTTGAAAAACCCTAACTTAACTCTGGTGCCGTGTCACATATAGAAATTTTTTGATATTTGCAACCATAGTAAAACAAAGACTTATATTTTTGATATTTATTTTATATATTTAAATGCCATTTAACAAAGAAAAATCAACCAAAAAAATGAGTTCGCGTGTCACCTCTGACACGCGTGTCATAGGTTCGCCATCACTGAACTAACCAGATTCTCATACGCAAGAGCAAACATAACCATATGGTTAGGAATGATGCTCATCAGCATTAAAACATTTAGAAGAAAGTTTGTGGACAATTAAACTTATTTACATACCTAAGAAGTTCTCAGAGTTTCTTCGCTCTTCAATATTGGAGCTCTATCGAATTCTTGTTCAACTTATCCCCAAAGTTAAGATAAATGGGTGATGGAACGACTATATATAGGCTCAGCATTTGGCATCAGCTGTACAGTAGTGTTTTTGTATAGGTTAAAGTCTACTTCGGCTGGAATTAATGTAATTATATATAATGTTGACAGATTATGACATTTGCCTATTAAGACACTATACAAACATTCCAATAATTTACAGGCTTTTGACTCTGTAAAAAATAAATGAAACAAAATCCCAGGGGATATTGCTAATGGGGTAACTGAAATAGAGGTTTCAAAAGCACAGGGTTCAGGAAATAACAGTCAAAGAATAATGCATTTTCAGCCAAAACATATAGAGTGGTAAATGAATATTTAGTACTTACCACAAGACTGCTGTCTAGAGACAGCCTTTTTCCAAAGTCCCTTTTCTCAAGCTGTCTCTTTCCCTCCATGGGTGAAGTTATTTATTTTCCTTTGTGATTTATAAGAATTCCCCCTCTGTTTCCAGGGTCACTGCAAAAAGTGAACATGTTTTTCACTATCCAAGTGAACAGTGTTTAAACCCTTGTTTTTAACTTTCTAACCAGGAACAAGTACTGGAGCCAAAAATATCCAGACCCAAATAATAAGTATAGAACTGGGCTCTCTCAACGTCAAAGATCTCTCCGGTTGCAAATGTCAGAGTCATCTTTATGGAGGCCCCTGTGTTTTTATAGGTTTTGCTCATGGTGTTGGGGAATGGGTTTGCAGGTCGAATCAGCAGACTGTGGAAAAAAGCAAACAGTCCATTTCATGCCACACTTGCTCCACACCCGCCCTCTCTCTATCAGCCAGCACCATTCTGTTTCTGCGCACGTAGATGCTGTCTGCAAATTCCATGAGATCAAACTGGCAAAACCACGCTCCATAACTAAGAGTTATTGATCCCAAAACCCAATGATGGAAAACTGACATATGAACATTATTGTCAATATTAAAAATATTTAATTTAAACATATTTGAGGAACATTATAAGATACATGTCCTTTGGGACAAGTTGATTCAGAAAGCATGGTAGATGACATCATTATTATCAATGAGTATTTATTTGAACACCCACTGCATTCTACCACATGAGATATAGTTAATCCCCGCACTCCACTGACATTGCTTGTTCTGGAATCATTAAGTATTCTAGTTAGTAAGAATGTTTCATATATATTAAGCACTAGCTCCAAGTTTTCACCAAGATGGAAAAGGCTTGAAGTAAGAGAAATGGCTTTGAGCCCAAGCTTTCCTCCCCAATAGCAAAGTGACTTTAAACAAGTCATTGAGCCTCTAAAATCCATGTTTCTCAACTGCAATCAACAGCAATCAAGTGATGTATGTAAAAAATAGTTTAAAGGCAATGACTTACAACTTTCCCATATGTCAGGTATAATTATACACAGATTACATTAAAAACTGGTTAACCTTAAATACTAGTTGACATAATTTAATGTCTTTGATGATTCGGAAGGCACTTTGAGATACAGAAATGCTCTAATCCGCAAAAAATGCTCCTAATCTGCACAAATCCATTGTCCTGCTGATATTGAAGAGCTGAACTCCATAAAATGCTATACCAAAATCTTTTCATAAAATTGAAAATAAATATTTTTCACAACTCTCTCAACTGCTCCAACTCTGAAGAGGATGCAAGGAATTCTACTTCACAGACCACACACAGCATGTGGCCTCCTTTTCTTGGTTTCCTCCACTAGGAAGAGAGTGGAGACAGCTGTGCCCCAGACAGAGTCTGCCCAAATTATAGTCAATTGCAGGAAACTGATGGACCCCTTTTCCATAGGCTCCCGTCTCCATCTGAGTCATTCTCTCATTTTTCAGAAACACTAATTTTAATTCATTACTGGTCCACTCAGAAACTCCTAGGAGTTTATTCTGAATTCAGGATAAAATCCAAATTTTTCAACATCATGTTCAAGGTCTACTTCCTGCCAACTAGTCTTTGCAATCCCAACCACACTAGGCATATTCCTGAGACCATGCTTTTGATCATACCTCTCACTTCCATCTGGTCTGTTCCTCCCCTTGCTCCAATGCCTGGCTCAGCTCCCATCTCCTTCACAATACCTTCCTAGTCACTCCATTTGGCAATGATTTCTCTCTCTCCCAAGTTTCATACAAGTCCTCGGTGGCTTACCTTATTAATCACCATCATCACCTAGGATAATTCTTTCAATATAGTAAGTTCTTAATAGTTGCTTTTCAGTAGAGCCTAATAGTTAAAAACAAACTCTCCAAAGCATTTTTCAGAACTAAGTTAGCTCTACACTACTACTATAGACAAAACTACTAGTCATCTGAAATTTGTTCGAAGACTTACATCTCCCACTTTCAGCTGTTCCACCCACTTTGCAGCCCCTTCCTCATCTCAGTGACTGGCTGTACCGGTAGCTCAGAATAATGAATCCAACTAGAGAGACTAATCAGACACTGAGACTTCCCCCTGCATCAAAGCATGTCCTCCTAAGTCTTAATCCAAAGAGCTATGGGGTTTGATGAGTCACAATAAATAATCCTTTGACACTTAGCACATATTTCTTGACTACCACAGAGGACTCAGTACTTAGATGTTGATGACACAGCCATGTCTAAGACAGGCTAGGTTCCTGACATTCTAATAGGAGGATAGAGAAAATAAAGAAGCAAACAAACAACTCCAAATGGTGGTAGGTACCTGCTCTGAAGGAAATAATCCCCAGTAGGTGGTGTAACAGTTTCAAGCATGTGGAAGGGGAGAACATTTTAAATAGAATGGTAAAGGTGGGAGCCAGCCATGTAAAAGCACGTGTAAAGAGCATGCCAGGGAGAGAGGTCAGTCTTACTGCTGGGAAGGATCTGGGAAAATTTTGTGTGTCCAGAATAGAGAACAAAACAAGCTAGGAAGATAATGTGTGAGCAAAGTGCTGAGATGTAAGCAACAACTGCAGGCCAAGGAAACTTGCTTGTTCTAAACACAATGTTTCAATCTTAGGTTTTGATTCTCTACTTTACTCTTTACTAGCTGATAACATTAAACAAATTATTTAACCTATTTAAGCTTCAGTTGATTCAGCTACAAAATGGAATCAATAGTAGGACTTTCATAGTGAGGTTGATATGATGATTGAGATGGTCCATTTAAAGAGAAGTTCCTGACACATAGTAGGTAAGCTTTAAGTATTAAACATCGGTTATCTTTTCTGGTAAATGTGATGAAACTCATTAAGGAGAAACTCTGGTGACTGGATTTTATGCTCCATAATAGACTAATGAGGCTGTCATTTTGGGAAACGGGGATCCTTTTGACAGTTCTCTATTAGCCTAGTCTACCAGGTAGATGGTTGATTGAACAGCTTAGCCTGGTCAATTTATTTTCATACTTTATGTTTCCAATTACAGAAGCAGAGATTGACATTCAAAACATTTATCAACTGACACAGCACAGGTATTGACCAATCAGAAGGACACAGCCCAGGGCAACAGGCAGTATAACTGCAGCCGTGTGTCCTGGCCAAACTTCAGCCTAAGTGCATGTCCTACCCCCATCCCAAGACCTTGAAAATGTATGTGTTAAACCATAAAACAATCATGGAAACTATCAAAGTTATACAAAAGGATCAAAGCAACACCCCACCCCCAAAAAAGTGGCAACCAGGTTATGTCAACATGAAAAGGGGAGGGATCCAAGAAGGAAAAGCCAGGAAGGCTGACACACTCCACCTGCAGTACCATCAGGGAAGAAGAGTACCCACATTAACATATGACCAGCAAGAGCTACGGGTCTAGAAGGCAAATGAGTAGGTCACATCCCAACCACATGTTGGTATTACACTGGCCATCTGTATCATGCAATAAACGCTCTTGCTCAGAGACTACTGTCAAGCAACCTTCTAATTTTACTTGATTCCTATGTAGATTAACTTATAGAGGAATGTGCTGACCAGCAAATGTACATAGGCCATCTTTTGTAAAGTTATGTTTTCAGTACAATTTGCAATTTGGCATCTGACTCTATATTCATGAGTTAGGGATTTGCTTAGTATATTAATCAGCTTGTACTGCCATAACACAATACCACAGACTAGGTGGTTTAAACAACAATTACATTTATTTTCCCACAGTTCTGGAGGCCTGACATTCAAGTTCAAGGTGCCTGCAGGGCTGGTTTCTGATAAGGCTCTCTACTTAGTTTGCATTTGCCTGCTCTGTGTCCTCACATGGCCTTTTCCTTTGCACACATGCGTCTGGTGTATCTTCCTTTTCTTATAAGGACACCAGTCCTATTGACTAAGGCCCCCACTCTTAAGACGTTACTTAACCTTAATTTCCTCCTGAAAGGCTCTATCACCAGCCCTGGCCAAGTGGTTCAGTTGGTAGGAGTGTTATCCCGTACACCAGAGCTTGTGGATTGGATCAACAGCTGGGGAGGCAACTGATCAATATTTCTCTCACATCGATGATTCTCTCTCAAATCAATAAAAAAACTATCCTATTGCCAAATATACTGTATTGGGTGTTAGGGCTTCCACATATGAATTTTTAGGGGTCCAGTTCAGTCTATAAGAGTTAGTTTTGATCAGATGTCAAAGCCTGGTTACATCTCAGTGCACTAATAATCAGATTTCTGAGTCTAAACTGCTTCGAGAAAACTCTGGGGTCACTGGCTACTCCCAGGCCCTATCCCTCTCCTCTGGCTATTTCACTGTTTGATTTCACCACCACCACACACCCCACCTGGCTGTGCTATATCCATTCGTCTCCGTACTGCAAGTCAAGAGGTGCAAACTACATTATCGAGATTTCTTAATCAGCAGGGCACGTTGGATTCTGCCGACAGAAGGCAGTGAGAGATCAGAAGGCAACAGGAAGGAAGACGCCATTCTGCTTCCAGCTCCAGATGCCCAGCCTCAACAGCAGTGCACTAGAGGTTCCAGTGACTTCCCTGGTGCCCCTAACCAGTCAGCATAAGAAAAGGCAGCCAGCTGCAGCGTTCCTCCCCGGGGAAGGGGAAGTACCGCCACCTCATGCCTTCCACTCACCCGCCCTTCCAACAGCTTCATAATAAATTCATGCAGTGAAGCCCTCTCTGCCTGAAATATCCAGAGCAGTTTCTCATTCCCTGGCTTGAGCACACCCCAGAGACAGATACCTTTGGACAGGCAGCAGCTTTCCCTGCACAACTCCTGGCTTCCTTCCTGTGAGCCTTCTGAAGTAACAGCACCGACTTAAAGGTCCCCCAAAACTAAGTTCCTGGAGAGCAGGGACAGTGTTCCCATAGAGGGTATAATGCCTTGTGCATACCCACACGGCACACACTGAAGGAGCATTTGTTGCTTGTGTGGATGAATAAATGAGGGGATGTTTACAACAGTCTTGGTGAGCATGCAAAGAGCAAGGCAGCAATGTAACATCCCTAAAGCAAAGAGATGCTAGGCCCGTGTGTAACACTGCACTTACTTTGCCACATATACAGGCATACTTAAGCCTCA